TTGTGTGTCCAATCACATTTGGCCAATAAAGAATTCTATTCTATTCTATTCTATTCTATTCTATTCTATTCTATTCTATTCTATTCTATTCTATTCTATTCTATTCTATTCTATTCTATTCTATTCTTTCTATTCTATTCTATTCTATGATTCTTGATGAACGTATCTTTTCTTTTATGTACACTGAGAGCCTACGCACCAAAGACAAATTCCTTGTGTGTCCAATCACACTTGGCCAATAAAAAAATCTAATTCTAATTCTAAAGACAAACGAAACAAAACACGCCAATGAAACAAAAACACAACCAAAGCAGACAACAACAAAACCAACCCCCCCCCCAAAAAAAACAAAAACAAAAAACCAAGATTCCAGGGCATCACAAAAGCCTTGATAGTACAGTGGTTTAGTGCACCCTGTTATTAACACCAGCTGTCTGCAATTAAAGTAAGATCGAATCTCCCCAGGCTCAAGGTTGACTCAGCCTTCCATCCTTTCTAAGGTAGGTTAAATGAGGACCCAGTTTGTGGGGGCAATAAGCTGACTTTGTATAAATATACAAAAGAATGAAGGCTATTGCTTAGCGCATTGTAAACCGCCCTGAGTCTCCGGAGAAGGGCGGCATATAAATCAAATTAAAAAAAAAAGCTCAACCTCAATCAGAAATCTTGCGCTTTGGCAAAAAAAAAAAGAGAGAGAGAAAAAGACTCCCCCTCCTCTTAGGTAACCACCTGTCTTGGGGGCTTTTTCTTTAGAGGCCTCGAACTCCAAAGCCCATCAGCTGGGGATGATGGGTGCTGTAGTTTCTCCCCACCACCCCCACCACCTGGTTGGGAAAGAAGGCTCCGTTCAAGCAAAGGGAGATGGGGGGAAAATGATTCACACAGACAGGCAGGCAGAGGAGCCCCAGATCCAAAGCTCCTAAACTCCTCTTCTTCCTGGCTTCCGCGCACACCTGTCCCCTCCCCCCCCTCCCGCCCCACCAGCGCACACCTGTCTCCGGAAGTTGACACGTTGCTATGGCAACCCCCGGGCGGAAGGAAGGAAGGAAGGAAGGAAGGAAGGAAGGAAGGGAAAGGGAGTCCTCCAGGGTAGGGATGGCTCTTTTACAACCTGTGGACTTCAACTCCCAGAATTCCTGAGCCAGCCAAGCTGGCTCAGGAATTCTGGGAGTTGAAGTCCACAGGTTGTAAAAGAGCCACCTTGGCCCACCCCTGCTCCAGGGCATGGAACGCGGGGGCGTGGCCACGGTTCGGCCCCGCCCCCCTTTCCTCCCTTCTTTCCCTCCCTCCCTCGGAGAAACAGCTGATTGCTGCCCGGAGTTCGGAGCGGTCCGGCGGTGGTTGCAAGGTGGCATGGAGGCTTTCGTGCAATTCACCAACCAGACGCAGGGTCGGGAGCGGCTCTTTCGGTGAGGGGGGAGCACAGCCTCAAAGGGGGAGAATGAGGGGGGTGGCGGGGGTCCCCCAACTTCCTTTGCAAGGAGCTTGCAGAGCCCCCCCCCCCCCCCCCCCCCCCCCCCTGCCCGCGGGTCCGTGGGGCTCCCCCCCCCCCCCCCCCCACTTAAACTCCTCTTTTTTTTTTTTCTTTTCCAAGTTATTAATTATTATTATTATTTTTTTACAAACATAACAATGCGTGAACAGTGTGGCACCTGGGTATTCAACTCCCTGGTTTTGGATAGAACATAGGATCATTGGGTTGGAAAGAGTGGTGAAATCCAATTTTTATTTTTATTTTTTTTACTACCGGTTCTGGGAGTGTGGCTTGGGGAGCATGGAAGGGGAAGGATACTGCAAAATCTCCATTCCCTCCCCACTCCAGGGGAAGGATACTGCAAAATCCCCATTCCCTCCCCACTCCTGGGAGAAGGATTCTGCAAAATCCCCATTCCCTCCCCACTCCTGGGAGAAGGATATTGCAAAATCTCCATTCCCTCCCCACTCCTGGGGGAAGGATACTGCAAAATCCCCATTCCCTCCCCACTCCTGGGGGAAGGATACTGCAAAATCCCCATTCCCACCCCACTCCTGGGGCCAGCCAGGGGTTGTATTTGCCGGTTCTCCGAACTACTCAAAATTTCTGCTACCGGTTCTCCAGAACCTGTCAGAACCTGCTGGATTTCACCCCTGGTTGGAAAGGATCTTGGAGATCTTCTAGTCCAGCCCTCCGGCTTGAGCAAAAGATCCTGGCTTATACCATTCCAGACAAGTGGTTGTCCAGTCTCTTTTTGAAAGTTTCCAGTGATGGATGTCTATGGAGATTCTCCGTCATCCTGGTCATGCTTGTCCCAAAGTTGCTTCTCCCCCCTCTCCCCCAAGAGGCAACTGGACTTTCTGGTTTTTCTTTTTGAAGACGTTTCACTTCTCATTCATTCATTCATTCATTCAGTCATTCATTCATTCGGTTTGTGAAATATGTATAACAGATATAAGTATAAATAAAAGTATATAATTACGAATATAGGAAATGGATACGAATAAATGAGGACAGTAGGACAGGGACGGAAGGCACGTTGGTGCTCTTATGCACGCCCCTTACAGACCTCTTAGGAATGGGGTGAGGTCAACAGCAGACAGTCTAAGGTTAAAGTTTTGGGGGTTTGGGGAAGAAACCACAGAGTCAGGTAGAGTATTCCAGGCGTTGACCACTCTGTTGCTGAAGTCGTATTTTCTGCAATCGAGTTCGGAGCGGTTTACCTTGAATTTGTATCTATTGTGTGCTCGTGTATTATTGCGGTTGAAGCTGAAGTAATCATTGACAGGAAAGACGTTGTAGCAGATAATGTTGTGTACTACACTTAGTTACAAGAAGCATCCAAAAAGCTTCCTCAGCTCTGGCTGGATTCCATTTCCCCACCATCCACTCAGAGCTGAAGAAGCTTCTTGGATGAGAAGCGAAACGTCTTCAAAGAAAAACCAGAAAGTCCAGTTGCCTCTTGGGAATAAAAAAAGCAGCTTTGGCATTCCAGTGAGAGAGCATTATTATCAGGGGATGTTTTATTTTGGGGGAAACAGGGTATCTTTGCACAACCTGGTCATCTGCCTCCTGAAACAACCTGTTCCCTGGTGTTGCACAAGACCCCCAGTTCATGCATACTGAGTTTGCACAACATGTTAAGGCTCACATGAATCACACTTGGCCATTGTGTGGCGACAGTCACAAATCTGATAACTTGAAGAAATTATAGGAATTGCAGGCTTGCTTCAACAGAGGCATCAGTAGATCTGATTTCTTTAATTTATATTTGACGTATTTCTTCACAACTCTTCACTCCTCCTTCTGAGTGATTTGCAAACGTGGCTCCACTCCCATTATGGAAATTTACACAATGTAAAAATAATGCAGTGTCAGCAATGAGTGAAGAATTGCTGAGATTTAACAGGTGCTTGGGGGGGGTCAAAGTTGCCTTCTCTTGTGGATTCTAAAGGTGAAGAAGTCCCTTTTAATTCAGCTACAGCTACAGGGGACGGTGCTCATCTCCAAGGCCATTGAGCCAGAGGTGGGTTTCAGCAGGTTCTGACCAGTTCTGGAGAACCGTTAGCAGAAATTTTGAGTGGTTCGGAGAACCACTAGTAAAAATTCTGACTGGCCCCACCCCCATCTATCCTCTGCCTCCCAAGTCCCAACTGATCGGGAGGAAATGGGGATTTTGCAGTATCCTTCCCCTGGAGTGGGGTGGGAATGGAGATTTTACAGTATCCTTCCTCTGCCCCGCCCACCAAGCCATGCTACACCTACCAAGCCACACCCACAGAACCGGTAATAAAAAAAAATTAAACCTACCACTTCATTGAGCCTGTGCTGTCGAAAGATATTTCTGTGGTCATGCGGCCAGCATGATGTTCTGGAGTACTGTTGTGTACAGTGGATTGTACACAAACCTAAACTACTTCCCCAGACAGGCACAAATTCCCAAACCTGGTATATTTAGCTGGTGTCCTCCAGATGTATTGGGACTACAATTCCCTGGATTCCCAGCCAAGGAAGCTTTTGGACAGGGTGGTGGAAGATTGAAGATGTCCAACAAATATGGTGGAAATCAGATTACGAAATGGAAAGCGATCCCTGCATCATTCCACAAAATATCAATAAGTAAAGGTAAAGGTTCCCCTCGCACATACGTGCTAGTCGTTCCCAGCTCTAGGGGGCGGTGCTCATCTCCGTTAAAAAGCCGAAGAACCAGCGCTGTCCGAAATCGTCTCCGTGGTCATGTGGCCAGCATGACTAAACGCCAAAGGTGCACAGAATGCGGTGGTCCCTATTTTTTCTACTTACATTTTTTACGTGCTTTCGAACTGCTAGATTGGCAGAAGCTGGGACAAGTCACAGGAGCTCACCCTGTTACACGGCACTAGGGATTCGAACCGCTGAACTCCCGACCTTTCAATCGACAAGCTCAGCATCTTAGCCATTGAGCCACCGCGTCCCTAAAAAAAATATCAGTAAAATATCAATAAGAAAATGTGCAAGAAAATCTGGTAAGAGAAACAGTCTTGCCCGATAATTCCATTATTAAATTTTATTAATGTAATTAAATGAATTAAATGAAGGCTTTTGAGTAAAACAAAGAATGTGAGCACGATGATCTTACTGCCTTATATAGGTGTGAGAATTAGGAACCCCTACATATACCTCTGCATAGTAATTTTTCCCCATTTCTTTCCCCCAAAGTTGTTGAGAGAGGGATGATGGTGGAAATAACTATGCCAAAGAGTTGCCGATGCATGCCTTAATCACCATTCTCTCTCATCCTTGCCTGCTTTGTGTTATTATTTCCTGGTGTTATGTAAACTTATCTTTCAGCATCGCATGCTGCTTTTCAACTTGAACTCTGTGCTGGGTGATCCAAGGGATTGCTATTTCTTTGGCAGCTTCACAACCAACCTCCCCTTCCTCCCCTCAAGGCAGTGTGTGTGGGTAGCAAACTCTCCTCCAATTTTATCCTTTGCAACAGTGCAATCATCTGTGCAATATATTGGACGGGACGTTAGCGCTAGGCTCATTGGGATGAGTTTTTCCCACACCTGTAAATGGAACTGAACCCCAATCTCAAAAGTCCTATTCCAATTGTTGGCCGGTTATCCCAAGCTGCTGCTTGATGTGTAACGCAGGAAAAGGTGGTGTGAAGCTCCCAGGTTCAGTTCCACTGGTGTTCAGGTAGGAGGAAAAAAGGGAGGGCAAATAGTATTGTGACCTGCTCTGTAGATGCAAGGAATTGGCTGTTGGTTGATTCATCCCATTCCATTATTATTAGTTCAATTTATATGCCGCCCTTCTCCGGAGACTCAGGGTGGCTTACAATGCACTTATAGCAATAGCCTTCATTCTTTTGTATATACCTGCTTATTAGGGCTTTTGGACCCCCAAAAAGTTTCTACTTTGTAGAAACAAAGTCAGCTTATTGCCCCCACAATCCGGGTCCTCAATTTACCTACCTCGGAAGGATGGAAGGCTGAGTCAACCTATGTCAATATTATGATACCTTTTGTGCAGGATTCCCATCGTGCGTAACAGTTGCTCCACAACTAATCTTCTGATAGCCAGCACTGGGAAGACGTTCTGGGTTTTTTTTGCCAGCAAATGCTTTTGGAAATAAGCATGTTTTTCCACAATAATTGAGTATAATAGATTCTTATGCACCACTTAGTTAGTTAGTTAGTTACTAGTTGATCCAGTCCCAGATTAGTAATAGCATTGTACAGGGTTGCATGTATGAGTTCAGTTGTACATTCGTTTTTAGGGTCCAATTAATAAGAGGTAGACTGAGGTCACTGAGAAAGATAAGAGGGTGTGGGCAGGAGGCTGACCATGTTAGTAGTGAAGTTAGCTTGTTCGCATGCACAAGGTTGTAATCAGGAGCTCTGTAAAATATCTTGTTTTTTGGAATATAAGACGCACCTCCCCCCCAAAAGGGGGTGAAAATTTAGGTGTGTCTTATACACCCAATGTAGCCCCGCCCACCCACTGGTCCCCACCCTTTGGCCTCTGCTTCCCAGCAGTTCCCAGCATAAAAAAACAGCTCCTTTCAGCTTCAGCACAGCCTAACTAGCACAAGTTGATTGGATTAACCTCCCGACTCTCAGCTGATATGTTCTCAGCTGTTTTGCACGGGCCTCTGCTCCTTGCTGCAAGGAGGTAAATTGCTGGAGCAGATTTTTTTTTTCCCCTTGTGCTAATCAAGCTATGCTGAAAACAAAAATGAAAGTAAAGCAGGCTGTTTGCTGTTTGCCGCAAGGAGGCAAAATTACTCAGTGGCAGAGGCAGATTTCTTTCTCTTCTTTTCCTCACCAAAAATGGTAAGGAAAAGAAGGTGCATCTTACAGTCCGGTGCATTTTATACTCCAAAAAATACGGTAGTAAGAAGCGTAATGTGGTATTTAAGGACAGTTCAAAGACGATGGTTACAGGAAGAGCAAGCTCCTGTGTAACTTGAATATATATATTTTTTTTTTGATTTAGGGACTTGCAATGTCTCCGCTGATTGAGCAATGTTACCCTGTGCAAAACTATATATTACAGCGTTTGCCTTAGAGCAAAACAGTCCAGTAGCATCTTTTGCATGGGGAGGGACCTGCATTCATCTATATCTGTATCTATATCTCAGTTTCATTGTGGGAAGACACAGCCTGTGCTTTGCCTGTAATTTGTGACCAGCGATGCGCCTCTCTTTCCTTCCCTTTCCAGAGCAACTCAGTATTCATGCATGCTGCTTAGCTATATTTTAGAGCGTAAGACTCACCGGGAGAAAGTGGTTATGAAGCTCAGACTTCTGGAATCGAGCATGAGCTCAGGACGCAAGAGTGAGTATCTTAGTTTTAGATGCTACCTATCGAAGAAAGAAAAGGAAATGGATTGCTGATCATCCCCAAATAAGGGATAGGTGGGTGGGACAGAAAGAAAAGTTGAATTAAAAAGAGGGAGGGAGGGAGGGAGAGGGAGAGAGAGAGCGAGAGAGAGAGAAATCTTAATACTGTGTACCAGAATTGAATTGCAAATTACTGTATTTTTCAGACTATAAGACATACCAGAGTATAAGACGCCGCTTAGTTTTTGGGGAGGAAAATAAGAAAAAAGCTGGGGGGAATCGGCCTCCTGGAATACCCCCAATCAGCTGTTTCCAGAGGTGAACTTTAGCAACAGGTTCGTTGGTTGTGAGCTTTGCACCTTGCTATTTTTTCAGCTTCTGAAACCTCCGTCTTAGAAGCTGGTCAGGCTACATTTGGTATATAAGACGCACCCAAATTTTCACCCTCTTTTAGGGGGGAAAAAGGTGTGTCTTATACTCCGAAAAGTACGGTAGGAATATTATAATGTTGCCCTTGAGAGCCAGTTTGGTGTAATGGCATCAAGCTAGAAACCGGGAGACGGTGAGTTCCAATCCTGCTTTAAGCACAAAGCCTGCTGGGTGACCTTGGGCCAGTCACTTTCTCTTAGCCCTTGGAGGGAGGCAATGGCAAACCGCTTCTAAAAAACCTGGCCAAGAAAACTTCAAGGACTTGTCCAGACAGTCTGTGATAACTGAACAGGAGTGGACAGGAAAAACAAATCTACCCTTGATTTATCAATCAAAATAGTCGCACCTTTGTTGAGGTGTAAGTCTATTAAGCAATTTTGATCTGCTTCCATCGTGGACTCTTTCATTCATGTGGAGGCACAGCGACTCAGGCTGAAGTTCACAACTATCCTTACTTGGGATGAAGTCCTGGAAAAGAAAATATTGAATTTTTGAGTCCTAATGCCTAGATTGTACTCTAATTTTTGTCACTTGCATAAGATTTTGGTTTCATGGACAGCTCCTGATGGGAATTTAATGGCGAGGGTTCCTTATTGGTTGCAGTAGATGGATGATTCGTCTTTACTTCAACCTTGTCCAGTTTTGGTGCCTTCCAAAGTATTGTAACTCCTACAATCCCTTTGGTTGGAATTGCCAAATACATCCAGATTTTGTCCACTGCAGGAATATTGCGGTCAAAGCCCTTTAAATAGATCTATGCTCAGAGGCTTAAATTCTATATTTTTCTCCTCCTGCCTTCCTGAGTCAATACATCTTTGGGCTGTTCTCTTGATGGCCTTGGGGGCTTTGGAGGGGGCGGGGAACGATTGACATTATGGCTTTTTCTAAATAGGTACTGCTGATTCCTACCTGCTGAACTTCATTCCTTGCGCCTGCATGGGAAAATCTGGTTTGCTTATTAATCAAAATTCCTCCATTAGCATGTCACTTCATATATTATTGCATTCACATCACCTGGATTGTTTGTGTCCTAATCTATGCATGAGAAATGTGCTATTACTATTTATTTTATTTATTTTTTTCTGGTCCTGGGAGGGAACAGCCTGTTTGACTAGCCTGATCCTTTCCCAGTGGGGTGTTTGCATTTTTAGGCGCAGCAGTCTTTTCTTTTCCATTTAAAATCATCCACATTCGATGGCATTTCACCAGAAGCTAGGGAGCTGTGTATGATAGGCTTTGCCATGACAAATGTCCTTGCTTGTGCTTAGGGGCCTTGGTATCTGCCGCCCCATCCCACCCCAGCCTTTCTTTTAATGGTGGGACTTGATTGCAGGAACAGTGAGGGATCCCATCACCGCAGCTTGGTTCAAAACATTCAAAAAGCCACCAAAAGAAAGGAAAGAGCCCGGGTATTTTTTATTCCTTTAGATCAGATTTTTTTTCTTTCTGTATGTTTGTTGTTTTATGTTTATGTTTTATTAGATTTATATACCGCCCTATTCCCGAAGGACTCAGGGTGGCGAACAGGCACAAAATAAGATACATAGATACAAAAGTTAAAAGACATAATTAAAACCAGATTAAATAATTTAGCCCGAGACAATTAAAAATCCCAATAATTTAAAACAGATTAAAATTTCGATTTAAAAGAATTTTAAAACAGGGGAGAAAATTAGGCCAGGCCGGCTTGCTGGAATAAGAGAGTCTTAAGAGCACGGCGGAAAGTGCGCAGATCCGGGATCCTCCGTATCTCCGGGGGGAGCTCGTTCCAGATAGTGGGTGCCCCCACAGAGAAGGCCCTCCCCCTGGGGGCTGCCAGTCGACATTGTTTAGCTGACGGCACCTGGAGGAGCCCCTCTCTATGAGAGCGTACCGGCCGGTGGGAGGCTACTTGTGGTAGTAGGCGGTCCCGTAAATAACCAGGTCCTAAGCCATGGAGCGCTCTAAAGGTGGTGACCAAAACCTTGAAGCGCACCTGGAAGACCACCGGGAGCCAGTGCAGCTCGTGCAGGAGAGGTGTCACATGGGAGCGCCATGTTGCTCCCATAACTATGCGCGCGGCCGCACTCTGCGCCAGTTGGAGCCTCCGGGTGCTCCTCAAGGGGAGCCCCATGTAGAGAGCGTTGCAGTAATCCAGGCGGGAAGTGACGAGGACATGAGTGACTGTGTGTAGGGAGTCCCGATCCAGAAAGGATCTACTCTCCAGCTCATTAAGCAATCGTCCTGTAAATTCTTCCCATACCCTAAAGCTACCCTCAGAGGCCTAATTTATATGATATGAACATTTATTGATATGCCAGAATCTTGATGGAGCATATATGTACAATGGACAATTTGCTCCTGGCAATGATAAAGCTATTTAGACCTACTTTCTGGGCCTCAAATGCAAATATAATGTCACATACCTGCTTTAAATGCCTTCTGTAATTTTAATTTTTATATTCTTTATATAGTTACTGAAAGTTTTCTTTATTTAGATTTTTATACTAATTTTAAGCATCATGTTTTCTCTTTTTAATGGCAGATGTTCTGCCGAAGATAGGTGGATAGAATGATAGAGATAATACAAATAGATAATAGAAAGGTAGGTAGGTTGGTTGGTTGGTCGGTTGGTCGATATATGGATAGATAGATAGATAGATAGATAGATAGATAGATAGATAGATAGATATGACATGGATAGATGATGGATGGATGGATGGATGGATGGATGGATGGATGGATCGATCGATAGATAGATATGACATGGATAGATGATATATGGATGGATGGATGGATGGATGGATAGATAGATAGATAGATAGATAGATAGATAGATAGATAGATAGATATGACATATGGATAGATGATATATGGATGGATGACAGATGGATGGATGGATGGATGGCCTAATTACAGAAGATCACCCTTGATGAAATCTAGGAGTAGCCATCAATGAACTGGAGTGTTTTAGTGGTAGCTTTCCAGGACTGGAACTCAATCTAAGACACATAAGTTCATTTATTTTCCCCACTTTTTTGTGCATTGATGTGTTAATATTTGTGTGCTGCAATGAAGCGTTTTCATCCTTATCAGCTTTGTTTTAAAAGGCATTTAAGCATTGCACATTTAATTATGACCTGGGTTTATCGAAGGCTCCAGGTGGGTAGTCTTTTGTGGGTTGGCCAAGCTCCGTGTTGAGGAGCAGCATTCCAGTTTTAAAGATCAAGCAAATGATTAGAAGAACTCGCTGTGGGTTGGCAATTTGGAGACCACAGACATTGGACCGGGAATCTCAGAGTCCCTGCCCGCTGGTGTGGTCTTAAGGTTGCTATATCGATTTAAACTTTAAGATGTTCTCAGGGATCTACTTATGAGCTAGATAGGCAGACAGAAATGAGGAATGCGCAAAAGGTTATATTGTGAAACGTTCTGACTCGGGAAATAGATCATTCTGAGTGTTCCAGAAGTGGCACCTGAAAGTTAAACCACACTCAGGTTGAAACATTCTGGGGAAGATCATTTTGCACATACACACACACACACACACACACACAGAGACATAATGGTTTCTATCCTTATTGGCTGAGCTGCTGTCATGCCTAGGCGAGGTAGCCCAAAGACGAGATCTTAAATTACGGTCCAAAGCAGATGGTGTACATGGCTGCAAGGAATGAACGAGTGCAATGGTGAAATCTAAAATTTGTTACTACCGGTTCTGTGGGCGTGGCTTGGTAGTGTGTGGGGGGTAATGTGACGGTGGGCATGGCCCTTTTTTTAAAAAAAAAAACCCATTTTTTCTACAACCTCTTCGGTGAAGAGCTTGTAAAAAAATGCTTTCAAAAGGCTCTGACAATCCCAGCTTGGATCGTCAGAGGCATTTAAAAGAAAAAAAGCCTCTGCTGATCAGGCAACTCAGCTTGGATCGTCAGAGGCATTTAAAAGAAAAAATGTCTCCGATGATCGCGTGGCTCAGCTGGGCATGGGGGCGGTGGGGGTAGGGATTTTTGCTACCAGTTCTCCGAACCACCCGCCTCCATCGCTACCAGATCGGGCGATCCAGTCCGAACTGGGAGCATTTCACCCCTGAACGAGTGGCACCGTAAGATTCCAGGCCTTTCCCACCAGCCTGTTTCATCTCTGGTTTCTCTTGCAGTGTTTCGGCTTGGCAATATCGTGCACGCCATGGTGGCAACCCATCAAGCTTCCCGGTTGCCCTACGCCATTCCTCGCTTCTGCTTGACTGCCTCCAACATCAACCGGGTTATGTACTTTGCCTGTGACACCGTCTTGTGGGTGAAGAGCATTGGGCTCATCTCGGAGATCAACCAGAAGAAGTGGCGCAACTGGGCAACCAAATGCTACTACTATTCCCTGGTGATTAACCTGGTTAAGGATTTTTATGAGCTCTGCTGGCGCATGAAGCAGACAGCGTGCAGCCAGAAGCCTGAAAAGGCCTTGACTCCTGGCAGGCAGAAACTCCAATTCCTGACCAACAGTGAGCTACAGACTTTTCTCCTGCTTGTATTCCTCACGTTGAAGAACTATCCACCCCTCTTGCTGGATACGGTGAAGAACCTCTGTGATATCTTTAGTCCTTTGGACCGTCTGGGCATCTACAAGACCAACCCTGGAGTTATAGGGTTGTGCGGGCTTATCTCTTCCCTGGTGGGAATCCTTACTGTGATGAGGCCGCACTTACGGTTGAAACACTGATCTTCTCTCAGGGCTTCCCTTTTGCACGGTGGCGTTTCAATACTTCGTGCGTATTGTCTTCCCTCTCTTTGATGATGGAGTTTTGTCCCAGTTGAATTCATTCTTCTTTCCTTGTGCTGTCGCATTGGGCAGCCCAAATGACATGGGTTAAGTTTGGAGAAGGGTAAAAGGCCCCTCGACTGAAGATTTTTCCCCGGCTGTGCAACAGAACAAGCAAAACTGTCACTACTCAAGATGAGACGGTATCAACCCTTGGGTGAGGAACCGGTCAGTCTTTTATCCTGGGATAGAGAGACGAGCAGATTCGAAGTTAATTTGAAACAGAATTGCCTTTTGTTAAGTTTATGTAATTTCTTCCCTCCCCATCCCAGCATTGGTTTGTATAAGGATTTATTGCTGTTATCTGGGATGAATTCCGGAGCTTAACAAAACCTTCTTTAACCAGAAACATTTAGACTTACATGTTCACAGGCAACCCAATTGCTGCCTCTAGCTAACTTTTAGCTATTCTTGTTTCTGGTCAGACTGTGAAGTTTTTAATGATTTTTGCTTTTATGCCGTGCTCATTCTTTTTGCCTGTGAAATGAATTTATTGGATTTATAAACCATATAAATCCAATAAATGAAATGAAATCAAGATGGGCATGTGTTCATCAAAAACACTTTTGATCTCCCGGAAGAAAGGTATACAGCAGTGATGGCGAACCTTTTCGGCACCAAGTGCTGAAAAGGAAGCACACACAAGCGTGTCTGGGTTGCAACCCAGAAGAGGAGATGCCCAGGGCGCATGCATGTGCCCGAAAATGAACTTCCGGTTTCAGCTACTGAACTTCCGGTTTCAGCCAGCTGCTCTTCCTGGTTTCCGGTGCGCATGCTCACCCAGGAAAACGGAAGATCAGCTAGAAGATTTTCTAGTTTCTGGCACTGCCGCATGCAAAAAGGCCAGCTGTTTGTCGCGCACACATGCGCGCCAGAAACCCAGAAGAGGAACGGGTGACGCCACATGTGCCAGGCGACATGGCTGCGTGTGCCACTTCGGGCATGCGGGGCACAGGTTCGCCATCACGGGTATACGGTATGAAGCATTGTTTTCAGGGGTTCAGTGTGCAGTGGAGGTGAGGGAGAAGTGTTTTTGTGTCTATGTGTGTGTGTTTGTACTTAATCTATGCATTGCTAGAAATGAGGCCGTTCACCTTGGTTGGCGGATGGGACAAAGAAACAGTATTGTGCCTTTTTTCTTCAGCATTCCGATTCTGAAATAAGTGCCATTGTATTGCCATTGTAAATAAAAGAACATCTAAACCTTTCACATTGCAAACGAGTCCGCTGTTAGCTTATAACTCATTATAAGATGTATACAGGTGGTCCTCAACTTACAAAAACTTCCCTTAGTGAACCTTCAAAGTTACAACGGCACTGAAAAAGGGGACTTACGACTGTTTTTCACACTTACGACCTTTGCAGCTTCCCTCCATGGTCACCTGATCAAAATTCAGACTTTTGGTCGCTGACTCATATTTATGACGGTTGCAGTGTCCTGGGGGTCATGTGGTCCCCTTTTGCGGCCTTCTGACAAGCAAAATCCATGGGGAAGCCAGATTCACTTAGCAACCGGGTTAGTAACTTATCAACGGCAGTGACCCACTTAACAACCGTGCCAAGAAAGGGGGCAAAACTCACTTAACCAATGTCTCACTTGACAACAGAAATGTTGGGCTCAGTTGTGGTCGTAAGTCGAGGACTACCTGTAGTTGGGTAAGGGTCCCACTGGCAAAATGACGGAGGGCTGGTTAGCCGTTTTTTATCCACTTCGGCTATTTGAAAGCAGCTAGTTGAGGAAGGTTATTTTAGTCACCTTCCAGGCAAGCTTTCAATACTTTTTTGAAAGAATACAAGGCAAACTGTAAATAGTACCAAAAAAAAAAAAAAGCGGTAAAAAAACAAACTGTAAAAAGCCACCTAGATTAGCTCCACGGTGGGATGGGCAGCAAGTAAATTTAATAAATAAATTAAGGCTGCACAAACCTACAAAGAAGAAAATCGAATACAAAATTGATGTGATGGGAAGGGAAGGGAAAGAAAAGGAAAGGAAGACTATTAGGAAAGGAAAGGAAAGGAAAGGAAAGGAAAGGAAAGGAAAGGAAAGGAAAGGAAAGGAA